CTACCCAGGCACACAAACTTTTCGAATACTTCAGACGGATCATCAACCAGGACGGTGGCATGTCCACGCTTCTATCAATTACGTAAAACAACTTTGCACTTCAACGGTCCAAACTGCATACCATACTCACGCTCACAGGGAAGTGACTATGTGGCATTTGAGCAGCCTGTATGTTATTGCGTAGTAAGATGTTATTCACATACTGAAGGTCGGAAAGTTCATCTGATGGCAAATCTACACCACCACGTACTTCCTTCACATCTATTTTGAGAGTGTAATTGATGGCAAAGCCAAAAATGAGTAGCGAGATCGGACAACCCTGCTAAGCCTCATCGTTGGTTTTGAACAAAAGAGATAGTTGGTTATTATTATTAGTCCCTTGGGTTCCTAGTGGAACATAGGGCTTCAGTAGCACGTCTCCAGTGAACTCTGTTCTCTGAGATCTTTTGAACCTGGTTCCACGACAGCCCACAACCTCTCATTTCCTCCTCGCACGACCTCCTCCATGTCACCCTCGGACGTCCAACTCGTCGCTTCCCATGGGGATTCCACTCGAGCAACTGGGCTGACGCGTGATGTCCTCAGTCGGCTTTCTCAGTGCATGGCCAATCCATCTCCACTTCTTCCTGCATACTTGTTGCGTGATACATTCTTGGTTGGTTCGTTCCCAGAGTTCCTTGTTACTTATTCTTTCTGGCAATCCATCTGATCTTCAGTAGCGAGCCAGCATAAGCAGTTGTTGATGAATGTCTGTAGTTTATTGGAAATACCTTTCGTGACGCGCCAAGTCTCTGAACCATACAGAAGCACTGACTTGACGTTGGTGTTGAAAATCCGTATCTTGTTCCGCATGCTGAGTGCAGATCTCCACACTGGTTTCAGGCTAATAAACACCTGTCTTGCTTTTCCGATTCTGACTTTGACGTCCTCGTCCGTCCCGCCTGTAGTTGAAACAATGCTTCCTAGATAAGTGAAGGAGGTTACTTCCTTTAAGTTTCTCCCGTTGATGGTGACTGGAGTTTGTTGTTGTTGTTGTTGGTGGTGGTGCGGTATCTTCATCACCTCTGTCTTCTCTATATTCACTTGAAGTCCCGTCTTCGCTGCCTCTTCTATCAACTTGTTAGTTTTTGCCTGCAGATCTTCAAGTTTATGTGACATTAGGCACAAGTCATCGGCGAAATCCAAGTCTTCTAGGTTCTTTTCCGTCGTCCAGCGTATCCCCCTCTTCTCGCTGCCTACTGTTTGCTGCATGATCCAGTCCACCACAATAAGGAATATCATGGGGGATAGTAGGCAACCTTGTTTCACTCCTGTCTTCACTTCACTTCAAAAGCATCACTGAGCTTCCCATTGTGAATTACTTGGCTGGCATGTGGCATCTTCATATAGTTGTTGAATGAGGCGGATAAAGGTTTGCGGTACTCCGTAGTAATGAAGCAGTTTCCAAATTACCTCTCGGTCGACGCTGTCAAAGGCCTTCTCAAAGTCGATGAAGTTGAGGTAGAGAGCTGATTGCCATTCTATGCTCTGTTCTATGATGATGCGAAGCGTTGCAATTTGGTCTGCACATGATTCGTACTTCCTGAAGCCTGCCTGTTCCGGTCGCAGTTTTGAATCCAGTGCGTCTTTAAGTCTCTCCAGGATGATGCGGCTTAATATTTTACTTGGGGTGGACAGGAGAGTGATTCCGTGCCAGTTCTTGCAAGCACTGAGGTCTCCTTTCTTCGGCAGTTTGATAAGGTAACCCTTCTTCCAATCGTCAGGTACCTTCTCTTCCTTCCACACCTTCTGCAATAGTGGTGTGAGCATGTCCGCTGTTGTCTCTGCATCTCTTCTCAGTGCTTCTGGCGGTATCCCATCTGGTCCTGCTGCTTTCCCGCATTTCAGTAGCTTTATGGCGTTCAGGACTTCCATTTTCGTTGGGGGATTTATGTTCACTTGTAATTCAGCGGCTGGGCTGCAGGTGGTATTTCTGGACGAAGTGCAGGTGGTGGTCGATTCAAGAGCTTCTTGAAGTGGTCGGCCCATCGTTTCCTTTGTTCCTCTTCTTTCGTAATTAAATTTCCTTCTTCATCTTTTATTGGTTTCATCTGTGTTGGTCTCTTCCCTGATAGTAACCTGGTTATTTGATACAATGTCGTCAGGTCTCTCTTACCTGCAGCCTGTTCTGCTTCACTTGCCAGGGTTTCGTAGAAGTGTCTTTTGTCTTTGCGTGCACTCTTCTTCACTTCTTTGTCCAGTGTAGTGTTTTATACATTGTGCTCAGTTCCTCTTGTGGTTGAGCATCCTCGCACTGGTTTATCTTCTGTTTCACCATCCTCCTCTCCTCTATCAGCTTCCAGGTATCCGTCGAGATCCATTCCTTGTCTTCTTTCTTCCTAATACTGTTGTGCAGGTTTCTTTCCACATAGCTTTCAAAGACTTCCAGTGTTCTTCCACACAGGTTTCTTCAGGGATGTTGCTCGATATCTCCCATTTTGTCTTGATGGCTGCCGTGAAGATTTCCTTTGTAGTTTCATCCTTCAGTTTCCGAGTGTTGTACTTGAATTGAGGTCTATCACCAGCTTCCTTGAAGGCTTTTAACTTGATTTGGAAGGTTCCTTGCACTAGACAGTGAGTGGTCTGAACCTACATCTGCTCCTCTTCTTGACCTTGTGTTAAGTAGACTGCGTCTCCATTTTCTTGAGATTGAGATGAAGTCGATTTGATTTTTAGTGTCCATCTGGTGAAATCCATGTCGCTTTGTGGATATCCTTGTGCCTGAACACACTGCCTCCAATCACCAAATCGTTGAATGCGCAGAATTCTGCAAACAATTCTCCATTCTCATTCATTTCACCTAGCGCCTCTAGACCCATGGTTACTTCTCTTCCCGTGTTGTCCCCTCCCAGTTTGGCATTCATGTCGCCCCAACCATTAGAATTTTGATATCGCCAACTGACGTCTTGTCCAGTGTTGATTGAAGTTGTCTGTAGAAATCCTCCTTTTTCTCTTGCTCTGCATTATTTGTAGGTGCATAGCATTGTATGATTGTGACCTTCCTTCCTTTTGAGTTGAATCTTGCTGTCATGATCCTGGAGGAGATTGGTTCCCACTGCATGAGAGCCTTCGATGCTCTTGAGGACATCATGATAGCCACTCCATAACTCAGTGTGCTCGTGGTTGTCGTCTGGGTGACAATATCGGAGTAGATTATTGATTCTCCAGTTGACAGTTTGGAGAGTCCACTCCCATTCCATCTGCTTTCGCAAATCCCAAGCACTTCGATGTGATACCTTCTCATCTCCTTTGCAATCTGGGCTGCCTTACTGGGTTCAAACATCGTGCGGACATTCCATGTCCCCACGTTTACTTTCGCTTTCATCGAGAGAAGATACATCGGCCAATTGGCTTCCCGAAGGCTTTCACCAACTGGCGTCATTTCGCCTCTCCGATTCCAGCGGGGAATAAGTTTGTTTTCATTTTTTATATTTTGTTTGTGCTTTGAAGTTTCTTTAGCGGTTAGATTTTTTTTACGGGGTAGGGTTGCTAGCCCTATGCCCAACCTTCCATCTTTACCCGGGCTTAGGACCGGCTAGTAACTAGTGAACTAGTTAACCAGGCGAGGTTGAGATAGTTGGTACCTGATGTGTTTCTGTCCAGGGGTTTTAAGTCGCTAACAAACATTTCAGAGACACTCATCTATGACAAACAATTCCAGGGCGCAACTCTGTTCAAAAAATCAAAGTGCTTATTGGTGACCCGCTTCCACAGGTGACTGCTGAAGTTCTCATAAGAAGTCGTGACCGGTGAAGCCAATCAGGTGAGACGTCAGGACGGTTACTCAGCGACGGAATCTGATGGAGGTAGCACCATATCTTCAACTGACAGAAGTAGAGAATATGGACCACTGGATTCCAACTCAGTGGCTCAATGGTAGCATGCTCACCGCGGAACCTGAAAGTCCTGGGTTCGACCCCTGGTGGGTCATGAGTGCGCACTGCCAAAGAGTCCGTACTACGACGAAACAGCTGTTCAGTGCTCCAATGTTTCTCCAACTGATGTCAGCCCATGATGAATATCGACCTGAAATCAATAAATAAATCTCCACAAACCACCAAAGTGAAAAATCAAAGAAAGTTATGAAATAAAAAACACTGATTGTTGGCCTGAAATAAATGTGAGCATATCAGAGAAGACACAGATAAACTTCAGTGCGCCCGTTGGGTCTTAAAAGTTCTAATTCACAGTTTACATCGTTTCACATGGATAAATGAATTAAATATAATCAACTTGTGTTTATTCCACTTGAATAAATGGCACTAATACACCTGAGAGATAACGATCGTTGTTCCTTAACGTTCCATGTCAATACTTCACAAAATCCCATTTTGTATCGATTCTCAATGGCAGTCATAGACTGCTTACAAAAGAAACGATACGATAAGGCTGCAATCTGGAGCCTTAAGACTATTTAATACAGAAATCAGTTCTTGAAAATTTCGCAGCTGTACTAGTTAATATAGTAAGTCATTTGTGAGCCAGCCAAGTAGCTGCACTACCTAGGATCCCATTCTTGCTAACAATAGGGGTCACTATTTAAGCAATACCCAAACTGCTTAGACAATGACTTATCTTCAATAAATGATATCACTAAAGATTTAGCCTACTTTATTCTGAACAAAATAAAAAGATACAACAATATAGCAGTCTCAAAATTTTGAACAAAAACTCATCGTGAATGCTTAATGACTTATTGAATTATGTACTTACATACTCCAAGATATCCCACTACGACAAGGTGGATACTAACTGATATACAATAAGCTGAATAAGCAACCCACTATTCTACGAGTCGAAACACTATTTCGCACAAAAATCACAGGACATGTGCACACACTGATCGTCAAATGAAATTCACGAAATGAAAAGGAATTTCGAAAAAAGCAGAAGTCTTTATAGGTTTTAAAAACATTTTTTCTTTCAAAAAATATCAGTAAGTATATTTATAAATTACACAATCATGTTTCCAACATATTGGGACGGATGTCAGTGATTCGGAGGACAGTAACATTGTCTTGGTACACTAAAAAAAATACATATAATAAAGTGATCTTATTTACCTCTCAGTTTTTGGTGTCTACGACGACGATGGAACTGTAACCACACTTTGGGATGTTCAAGAGTCTTTTCAATGATTACAGCTTCAACAAAGACCTGATTGACTGGCAAAATCGGTCGACCAATAATAGTGAAATCTGACGACCCCAACAGTATAACCTTTTGTAACTGGATACGATCACCAACATCAGTTCCAAGGAAGGGTGATCTAACCATTATCAGATCATTATTCGTCACCTTAAACTGTTTTCCTGCTACAACAACTACAACAAAATACCGGGAACTTTTCTCTGATATAGATGAGTTGACTGCATCATAAATGCCTATATAAGAAGAATTGATAAAAGAAAACAACTTATTGATTGAAATCAAAGAGAAACAGGATACAACTAGACACATACAACTAGTTAGTAACTGGATTCATTCAATTTTGTAGTTGATTTCGCTACACAGTCGTGTACAACAGTAAACGAAAAAGCGTATTCTATTTCTTTAAGAGTACAACAAAGAACTGCCTATATTAGAACTACAACGTACGTCGTGTACCAATATGATTGCTACAAACGTTTGGTATCAATTTTGTCAACGCTAAAAGTGAATTTTAGCACAGTTTAATCAGTCAGTCACGATTAATATAGGACCTGCTACCATTGTGTTACGGTCCATGTTGCTACACGTAACACCGACATATCGAGGTGGAAGGCGTCAAGACGAAAGATAGTGAAATAATGAAGAAAGTAGTCAAAAGATAACAAGAAGTAATGAGATGAAAATGAACTTTGATGTCACGAATGAGCTGGAGATAATCTCTGGATGCTTCTGGGCTATTGAGATTTATTCTCAACTATATCACGTACAGTTACCAACCAGCAGTTTCGGTTATCACGCAGAACGCAACTTCAAAGTCTATGTTTGTCTACATGGCTGAAATCAACAAGTGACAACTTTATGGACTGATATTATGTTTAAGTTTGGACACGTTTAAACTTTGCAGCTGCCGATGATCCCCTGTGTAGTAATATTCTTCACTTGTATTACACTGTCGTTGATTGGACCGAATTGATCAGTCTCTGTTGGCATATGGGCTCCTATGCGGATGCCTCGATATTGCCTGTCTTTTAACTTCGCTTAGTAATGAAGTCCGAGTCCCGGTGGGAACAACATCACTCACTGGGAAGCAGGTACATCCAGCTGACGGGTCCCAAATAGGACCAAATGCGCATCCTGGATTCCACTGCTAGCCACTGCCAATCATTACTAAATATTCTTCACTGATTCAAATCTAGTTTAATGTGAGACAACATAGAGGTTACTCAAAGCATATTCACTCAGTTGGTGATCAGTGTCCATTTGTACGGTATCTGCTTTGCACAAATGAGGTGTGAAGTGCTTCTAAAAGATTGACAGGAACCCGTAACTGAACTCATTCTTAGTCATGAATTGTTCCAAGTTGTCGGAATGTTTGTGCTCAAGTAGTTGTGTGGGTGCTGGCGAAGGTGTGGCTGACGAGACCTATACTAGTATATAGGAAGCCAGAGTTGCAAACGCCAATCTGGGACACTTTTGCTACCGTCAGGATGATAACTTTGCTGTAAAAGACTGGCTGTACAACGCGTCAGTGTGAGCACCTCTGCTATCTGCCAGTGAAACGTGGCCTCTTCGGGCCGAAGGTGTTCCGACGACTCGGTGTTTTCGACCAGTGCTGTCTCAAGACTGCACGCATACGGTGAAAATGGTGGACGAGTAGTTTGACGGGAGAAGCTGTGTATTGAGGTGAGATGGAGATCGTCGCTCAATGAATGTGGTCATCTTGGGAAACTAGCTTGAGACAATAAAAGATATAGCTCGGAATAGAAATCATTGGCGATCATATTGCAGTTTTCTTGTTTAGTATATTACTCAGGAGCAGAACGGAAGTAGTGAATCATCATCATCACCATCAATGTCAACATAGGACCAGGCATTACTGCGTAACGGTCCGAGCTACCACACCTCATATCACTACATCAAATAAAAAGGCAGTGAGGCGCAAGATGAAGAAATGAAAATTAAGTCATATGAAATATAAGCTACGAAAAGAGAGAAATGAAGAATGAGAAAATGGTGAGATTCGGTATAGTGTCGTTAAGATGACGATTATGTGTGTATACATCTGCACAACTGACATCGGTTCTGAGCTATATCACCCACAGCCAGTCTCCAACTATTGGTTCCTCTTGTCCCGCCGACCCCAACCACCTAGTCTGCGTCGCCCCACATGGCTCAAACCAACAGTCAGAGACTTCATACATTAGGTGCCATGTTTTAGTCTGGCCACCTCGGACCTTTCTCCAGACTTAACCTACTTCAGCCAACATTGTGTGAAGAGGTAATCGGTGACTAGGCATAAGTAACACATGTCTCGACCATCTCAGTCGATCAAGGTTCACAACTGTGTCAACTGACTTACCTCTTCTCCCTGAAACTCTACACCTGACTTCTGTGTTACTCACATGGTGACACCATGGAATACGGCCTATACTACGAAGGCAACAGTGATCAAACACCTGAAGCCTTCTCATGTCTTCCACCTTCAATGGCCATGTTTCACAGCCACACATTAGTAGAACACACCGGACTGCTGTGCAGTATACACGACCCTTAATAGACAAACGGATATCACGGTGGCGCCGCAGATGATGTAAGTTGGCGAAAGCCAATTGAGCCTTTAGTATCCGTGCAGAGATTTCACCGACCACTGACCCACCAGGGCTGATCCCACTTCCCAGGTAAGTGAAGTGGTCAACACACTCAATCACTACATTCTCTATTGTTAGCCGTGGTGGGGCACCGTTGAAGACTAGTCCTGGAGCAGCAATTTCCATTTGGGTGGTGAGAAACGCATCCCAAACATTCTCAAATTGTCACTCACAGTGTTCGGAACACTGTATCTTGTTAGCGTCTTCCCTAACAGGACAATGTCATCTGCATATTTTAGGTCTAACGAAAATTCTCCTGTGATTAGGTCAACGTCTGTGTAATCAGGTGACGAGATAGAGACGTCCATGAGAATATCTGTGATAAAATTGGATAAGAATGGAGACAGTGGGCACCCTTGACGGACACCACTCGATGAGTACAGCTCCCCGGACATCTCAGCATATGCTCTAACACGCCCACCAGTAAGAGACATTACCATAAGACTCCTCGATCAACGGAGTCGAATGCCGCCTTCAGGAAGAGAAATACAGCTAGTGCCAGGCGTCAGTAAGCATGCGTATGTTCCATAGCTTTAGACACCATGCTCATCGGACTTATTCCTCTGTGGTTATCACAAGAGGACTTCTCGCCTTTCTTGAAGACTGGAATAATCAGCGATTTAGACCAGTCAGAGGGGATCGTATTTGAATCCCATCTACTAGCTAACACTTCCGTTAACCTGACTAACAGCACCTTACCACCATCCTTGAATACCTCAGCAGTTAGTCTGTCTGGTCCTGCCGCCCTTCCTCGTTTCAGGTTACCTACTGCTTTCTCAACTTCTTCTCGTGTTGCGGGGCCTATCTCAATGTTCCATTCACGATCCGACTGGATAGCGGGCAACGCAATCGTGGCTGGAGGCCAGTTAAACTGTTCCTCGAAGTGTTCTGCCCATCGTTCCAGTCGTCTCCCCTGTGAGTGAATCACAGATCCGTCCTTCAAGCTATAGCCTCACTAATTGTTGTTGATCTTTTCCCCCCAGTCTCATTAATAAGTCTAAATAACTGTCTACTGTTACCAATCGACGCTGCCTTTTCCATCTCCTTAACCTTCGCTGCCCACCACTGTTCGCGATCGTTGCGTAGACTTTTCATCAGTCTACTTTTGAGTTGCGCTCGCTCTTCATTGTACTCAGAGCCTGCAGGGATGTGTTCACCTGCATCCATTAGTTCAGAAGAAGCTGCTGATATCCACTGGCTCTTTCTAGCCACTATTTTGGAGTCGGCTATGGTCTTCAACGCTACTTTTTCACCAGACTGAAGATGGCATCAAGCTTCTCTTGGAAGACTGATAGTCTTCTGTCCAGATAACTCCCTAGCCAGCATCTCACTGAACACGGCTTTGGTATTTTCATCGTCCAGCAGCACTAGTAGTAATTTTGTTGCCAAATTTTTCCTACTTCCATTGAGACGCAGACATACACGCGCTCGGACTAATGCATAGTCGCTATTCAAACACGTACTCCAGAAGGAGCGGCAGTCTTCCATCGATCCTCTCCAGCTATGACTAATTCCAATGTGGTCTATCTGTGTCCATCGCTGAGTTGAGCTCGGTGGACACCACGTCAGACAGTGTTTTTTCGTATGTCCGAAAATTGTGCTTACTAAAAATAGACGGTTACCTGAGATCAGTCGTAGTAGGCGATCACCGTTATATGTACGTTCAGCCGGGACTCCAAAAGTGCCACCTAAGTGCCTTTCTGCCTCACTCAGTCTACCCACCTGTGCACTGAAGTCACCTGCAACAACCACCACGTCCGAACGTTTGGCTTTCGAGAGGAGGCTAGACAGTTTACGGTAGAACTCGTCCTTCACTTCATCCGAACTACAGTCAGTGGGTGTGTAAGCAGAGACTACAAAGAGACAACGGCGAGTCTCACTAGTCCTTTTAATTCTCACTTTGCTGTTCAGTGAGATAGCACAGAGGTGACTATCAACTAGGATCCAGTCTAGTAGTGAGTTTTCTGCCCTAGTGCTTAATACTATGCCTACACCTGAAAGACCGAGAGAGTTAGCTATCGGATCTCCAGAAAGTCGAAGGGTGAATTTTGCGGATTCATCAGATTGGCCAGGAGAGGTCAGGTGAATAACCACACTTGGGTCCTGTATGCGTGTCTCACAAACACAGCATATATCCATGACCCGAGTTGCTACAGTCTTTGCCAACGAAGCCTGTTAACCAATTTGATGTGGTGGGTGTGTAGATGGAAGACTGCAATATGCAATATGTAGCGTGGCTTAAGGAGACCAAGGATGCTGTTTTGTGGAGTCAGATCGTTGTCAAGGGATGCAGAGCTAGGAGGAATTGAAGATGATGTGGTATTGTTAATTGGGATACGTGAAGGAAGATTAGGAAGTTATGAAGGGGGAGGTGGATAGCAGTCTGAGGAAACTTGGGTGCTGATAGAGTTTTGAGTGCGGTTTACACTTCCCGGTTGCCCACACCATGGAAGGCTATTTCTTCTTACGGTACCTGAAAGAGATTTGTGCGACCGCAGAGCCCATCCGACATCTGCTTGAGGCCTCTCACACTCAGTCTTCTGTGTATGATTATTTTGAACTTTTGCTGTTTCGGGGCCAGATGGTCGAAAGGAAACGACAAATGGACCAACACCGCCGGTCCGGTAGACTGTGGGGTATGGTGGAGTGTGTTATTTTGGGGGCCGGCCTTTTTTAACCCCTCCCCCCTTCTTTCCATTGAGAAGGCAGCATCAGTATATCACTGCTGGTCATCCAAGGAAAGCACCTTACTGCTGTCACACTCCATCAAGCTAGCATCAGTAAAACTTCGCCTTCCAACCCCCATCATAGTGTAGTAATTTACACCACAGCGGTAACTGGTTTTCGCCTAACCACTGTCCAACAGACCATTCTGGTACGGTAGGACCTCCTCGGAAGAAGTGTTCCACCAGTATTGCTCGTTGGGTGATTGTGATATGCAAGCCCGACCACCACGTCAAGGTAGCAGCTATCGGTCGGTTGCTCATTTTACTTAATTTTATAGAGAGAACGCATTGCTAGTAGACTGTGAGGCGTATGAAGTTAGTCAACGGAATGAGGTCTGTGAAGTACTGCGGACAATACCATTTCGGCCCGTTCATGTCTGCCATTTATTGTAGGTGCACGCTTAGGCTCTTGGGGTAACCGTTGACAATGTTAAACAGCAGAAACATATAGTGTTCAAGTCACATTTGTTATATCTGCCGATTAAGATCACAGCTGACAGGCCTTCGTCTTTGGAAAACTAATAATCGCAGCGTGATTTATGGCACGCATGAACCGGGCTAACCCACTAATGAAATACCTTTTACAGAAACACTTCAATTTATGAGTCATCTAAAAATTTAGCGATGGTGCTAGGTCCAATCAGAAACCATTCCAAGTTACGACTAAGCAACCGTGGATTAGATGGTCGTGGGAAATGGTTAGCTTCGATGTAATTACTTCCATATTAGGTTGCTTATTTGTTATAGCACACAGTGAGACAGTATTACTTACTGGATGACATTTCGAGTACAATTTATTGCTCATATTAATATCAAAGTAACCACATAGCTTTTAAAGTCCTCTTTTATTCTAATGGTAGTAAGCGAATGAACAACTTTCAGACTACATAGGGGAAATTTAGAAGTCGCGTGGTTATTACGATATGAATATGAGCAGTAAATTCTGCTTGAAACATCTTCCAGTAAATAATACCGTATAACTATGTGCTATACAAAACGAAAAGTCTGTGAGATTACACACTAACATAGTTCCTAGGTTTTACTCTTACACTGATGTCACTAGCTTCTACATTCGGATACAGACTGACATGGCTCTGAAGACCGAAGGCATTTGGAAATAATCTCAGTGCTAACTATAACCTTACGCCTTAAACTAAAGTACAAAGGGGAGAGATCATACTAAAAATAGTTAGCCCTGACACTTGTAATCTTTACGTTTTAAAATAAAATATCCGAATAAACATGAGTTGCCGTAGGATCACCAGCAACCCTGTACCGTGACAAACGTTTACGGGTAGTCGGGAACGGATGATCCTCGAAATAATCAATCATGTTCCATGGATATGTCTGAGATAAGTAGGTGATGTATCAACAGCAGAAAACCAGTGATGGATGCAATCCAATATGCTTATGAATTAGAGATTGATAAACCGGAGCTAGCCTCTTTGAATCGGCCTAAGAAATAGACACAAAATGGAAACTTACTATCCAGAGAAGACCTTCAAAGTCGATTGTTACTTAGTACATCACTTCACTCAAGTAAAGTAGGTTTAGTGAAATGATAGAGTAAAACAGCCAAAACACTAACTAGCCAGACAGGAAATTGGAATCCACACGAAACCCTAAGGTGCCCTTGGTATTCAGTAACTACCCACTAAAATTTATAAGATAGATACGTTAGAGGCTCTCAATCACGACGAACGAATACTACTAGTCTTCTTAACGGTTCATCTTAGAACCCTGTTGAGTATCAAACAGAAAGTTTCCAAAAATCAGTTTCCGACACTAGAGATCCTACCCAGCGAAATTCTAGTTTGCTACTTTTGTAACACGAAGATTTGAGCTGGAGGCTGTAGCTCTAAGTTAAATTCCTTTGTTAACAATACAACTAAACTTCTTTGTATTTGTTGGCGGACAAAGAGGTATTGGGGGAAAAATGGAGATATGTATATCAAAAGGTAGAAGAGTAGTCAAATTCCTCTTATGGTCTAATGCAAAATTATATGTTGGTAAGTAAATGATCACTTTATAAAGTCCTCAACAGTTTACTTCATACAACGCGATTTAACAATTGTTAAGTAACTAGAAACTCACTCTGATGAAGGGAAGAGTCGCTTGGGGCCAATGGCAAAGGTTCTGGTTGTTTCAATTCTATGCTAAGAACAAATTTTCACGAAATAACGTAACATACATCTCGCTTTCAAGGACAGTGAAAGCCTTGTGTATTTTATAAAGTCTAGGCTTCCTTGGAGTTTGATTTCGAACCCAGTCTTGAAGGAAACTGGAAGTAGTAAAATTCACAAATCTACAAACTGAAGGTAGACGAACGCGAAATAACAGGCCCAAGGCAGCATGACCTTCAGACCAAATAGAGGGTCTAAACTTCAGTAGTCCAATACACCCAACATCCAACATCAATAGTGCAGGTAGAGAAAACTTGCAGTTTTTGAGCTCTCGCCTCTAGGTCTTGGGGTTTGGTTCTTTTTGTTAGGTTGTGCTCCTTCGATGGTCGCAGAAGTTGTTGCATCTTCCTGCCTATAGCTTCCGAGATATTAATTGTCTATTTATAAACAAATAAATAAATAAATGTTTTAATCTCACGTTTAAAAATAGTTTAACATGAGAGAAGCCAGTTTACAGGCTTTATCACGTTGATGCATCTCAAAATATCTACAAGACTTGAGCCCTGAGTGGCGCTAACGGAATGTCATTAAACTCAATTAAAAACTGCCGAAGGTCCTGCTTGTTATGAAACGAACAAGGAAATATTACCTTACAGCGTATACAGAGTGTTAAAGTTTAGATGATAATAAATATTGCCTTCATTTAATGGGTCTGACGTGACGGATACCAGTTTCCAAGCACTATCAAATTCATAATTTTTGAAAGTTTACGAAGAAGGTATTTTATTTGCAGATTGTAGTTTGGTTTGTTTGGGTGGAGGAGGCAACAAAGCTGCTGATAAGATCAATCAACCGTTTGCGATTCCTGTTGTTGCAAGCACCTGCGAGCAAGTGTTAAGCGTTACTTAAAAGGTGACAGAAACTGTGGAGTTGGGAACGAGGAAAAGAGGAATGAAAGGTACTTATGAAAAGATAAATGTGACTGGTAATAATATGGAAGAGAGGTGCGTCTTATTACAGATACCAGAGTTGGGGAATACAAGGGTGGAAGGGCGTATCGTCAGTCGCTACTGATAAATGTTCGAGGTAAGCCATTTGCGCCCACATACTCATCCAGTAGTCGTTTGAAGGCGTTCACTGATGTAGGTGTGGCCACTCCCTTCGGCATAGGGTTCCATAAAGCACATGCTCCGTGGGAGAAGTTAGATCTCACTCTCGTCTTTGCCCTATGGTGGGGCATGCCAGTGGGGTTCCTACGGGACTGTCGGTTTTGGACCGATAAAGTTGTCCAATTTTGATGGTCCACCTGGCGAATGGTCTTGTGGGCTGTCGTCAGGTTACCTCGTCTCCTTCGATGGCTTAGTGCGAACAAGTTCAGTTGTCCAAGGCGTTGCCCATGTTATGCCTGTTAGTCGGACAACCGACGTTGTTGCTCTCCTCTGTACCTTCTCGAGAGTATTTGCATCTCTCTTTGGTACTTAGGGGGAGGACTATCGTGGTAAACACCACTTGGTGTGGTCTAACTTAGGTTTTAAATGCGATAGAGGATAATTCTAGGACTAACAATCCAGGCTGCCTTCTTAGAAAGTGCATGATGGCGTTTGCCTTTGCTGCTATTCCCCTATGAATGCCAGTGGTATCTACTGTGACATAAAAGTTTAGCCCCAAATCCCTCTGTGGATACCTTAGTGACTGCACACTTGTCAAGAGTGTAGAGATTTTCATCGCCTCTGGTGTGCATAGATACACCGCCTCGGGTTTCTTCGGGTTAAAGCTTGAACCATTTGCAGCTGACCAAGACTGCAGCCGCAACGGGTCGTTTTGGGGTATCCTAGGATCCTCTTCGTGTCCTCCGTATTTTGATGTTGTCCGCGAATTGGTGGATGGATATTGAGATTTTAATGGGAAGGTCGTTTATGAATAGTAAAATAGGAGTGGCCTAAGGATCGCTCCTTGAGAAACTCCTGTTCTTGCATTCCTCCAGGCTGATCGAATTCTGTTTACTTTAGTGCAGAATTCTCTGTCCTCTGGGTATGCTGTAAACCATGCCAAGAGTGGTTCATTAATACCCACTTTTGCAAGTCTGGAGAGCATGGGGCAGTGAGGGACGCTACGGAAAATTTTGGCCAGGTCCAAGAAGATAACGTGAACCAGTTGTTTATTGTCCCATCTAGTGGTTCAGTCATCCCAGGCGGTCATCAAGTTTGTGGCACATGACCGCCCGGTTCTGAAGCCATGCTAGGTAGGACGAACGATGCCGTTTCTGTTCAGGTAGCCCCGAACGGAGATTAGTGCTGTGGGTCCGTAGTCACACGGGTTTTTTCAGTCTCCCCCCTTGAAGATTGGTGAAAGGATGAAGCGTTTTGATTCTCTGAGGAGTTGACTTGCCTCCAACGAGTGCGTTAGAGGGTTGCATAGGGGTATGCTTCGCGCTTCAGCATAGTTGCGTAGGATCACCGGTCTTATGTCATCACAGCCTGGGGATTTTCCTGTTCTCAGCGTTGAAATTTTCGCAGACGCTTGGTTTGACGAAATCTTCACGTTCGTCAGTTTTGTATCGCAATCCTGGGATTTCGTTACACTACTAGATGTTGATAGTGGGTGCATTACTGGTTGAGTTGCTCGCCAAATCGACCGCTTAACAGTTTCGCTATCTCACCACGTTCAAAGGTTGCCTGGCCAGACCTGTGATCAGGTTTAAACCCTCATTCCTTGGCTCACGTTGTGACATAAACCGATATAGACTTTTCGGGTTGTAACTCAGCTGTTTAGCCGGGCTGCTGTGGTGTGTACATCTGTCACTACGAATTCTTATACTGCAGAAGCTGTGCAACGTCTTGTAGCCATGAAAGTGTGATTCTTTTCGTGGTGTACACCACCGATATCATGCCTTCTTTTTTCTTCTGTATTTGCCTTTGGGTTATGCGTTACCCAAGACCATTTGAGAGGTGGCCGTCTGGTTAATTATAGAACATTTATCGATAGAGCTTCAGATAATATTTTTAATGTGTATCCAGCGTCCGTCTGTTCACAGCGAGTGCCATTCTCGTGGCCATGCAGCCTACAGAAATTCGTTGTTCATTAGATGGTAGTCCGCTTTTTGGTAACAGCGGAACGCTTCTTGCTCAACTATTGGTAATGTCTCCGTGGTTATCAGAGAGAGCGGCACCATTGCATGGTCGCTCTTACCTAGGTGGAGTTTAACACATATCGTCCATCAAAAGGTCATTGTCTGCTAGAACGTAGTTTAGTGGTGGTCCTTCTCCATCTGGTCCCCGTCCGGTGTTTTCCCCAACCTTCTCTACCAGTCTTGGGGCCATAAACGTATTCGAATTTCGTGTCCGAAAGGTTTATACCCATATCTCACTTCACATACTGGGTTGAGTGAGGTGTGTTGAAGTCTCAGCCAGGACTACGTGGTCACAGGGTGCCGAGGTAGTTGTTGAAATGGCACTGAGCAATTGTGCTTTATGCTGTGTCGTGCAAACTGGGGGCCTATGTGCCAATCATAATAGGCCTTTGGTTTGGTTCATGGTGAACGGTCGCTTCCTCGACTTTTAGATGGGTGTTAACAAACATGGCAACACCTCCGCCATCTTTGGACTGCCTATTCTTTCGGAACGAGGTCATGTTAGGCAAAGGTATTTCCTCATCCACGATGTCTGCTGACAGCCATATCTTCGTGATGAGAATCATGTCTGCTTGCAGGTTATAGCACACCGTTTTTGGTCCCAGTAGTTTGCTCCTAAGACCACTTACATTGCTGTAGAAGCACATCAAAGAGCTATGTTCTGGGCTTAGTGAGATGTAGGCACTTGTTGGACGCTGGCATGCCGTTGCGTCAGATTCCGACTGTCAGTCCCCACGGGACTGGGAGACCTCATCGTTTGGTCCCTCTTGGCATCCCGCTTCTGGCGGTATTGTTTACTGTGTACACGGGTTCATTAGCTAGTCCTTTTCTGACTACTACTGCTTGTAGTTTTCTCGGAAGTTGCTTCCTATCTTCTAGTCTGGCAGCCCGCGGTTCACTCTCGCAGCATCGTACGGAGCCCCCTATGTGGTCCTTTGCATGGTACCATGCTGTGAGAGCTTCTGTTAGTGATGCTTGCAGTCAAAGCGAATAGGTAGCAATCCGGGTGTGGAAATGCTCCGCAGGTGCATAGATCTTGGTAAGCCGCTTACGCTGCTGGCGGGTAAATTTCCAAGTCCCATTTTTGCAGCTAACCACCTTCACTGCTCGATATCATGTAGGTAATTATCACACATTATGGATCCACCCGCTAGTTCGTATATCCTATGCACCACCATGGTTGCAGCTTTATGCAGACCACCAAGTGAGGACTTTCCTTCAGCCTCTCTGGTGACCCAAGGTTTGCCTAGTTTCACCCTTATGAGGCAGGAACCCTCAATGCCTGGTTGGCGTGATAGCTACTGTTTTCCTGTCACTGCTAATACCCTGAGACGTAGCAGCTGGTCTTGAGGTCCAACACTCCCTCAGAAGAGCTGGCATAAGTTGGCTGCGATGGTTTCTATTCCAAGCTTTTTGCAGTAGTCATCCCGCTTCTCCTTGCTAGACCATTCTCTTCTTTTAAGGGCGAATCTGTCGGTATATAGAAGTTGAATAGAATGACGGAGTCCATTTTTCTGTCCTGTGAGTGCAAAATATTGGGCTTGGTAGCCAGTACTTCTGGTCTACCCTTTACCCTACTCACGTCCATCCGTTCTCAACGAAACCCATTTCCTCAAGTTGCTCAGTTCCACTGGATCGTCTGGGTTGCTAAAGCTTGACCATTTTCTGAGGGGAGATTATTGTAGCTCGTGCTTTCCAACAAATTTGACTGTACCAGGTTTTCCAGTTTGCCGGTGGTGGTAGCAGGTGACTTCCGACACTGGGTACATATACTACGTCCATTTATATGGGTACTTCCTCACAAGGCTGCAGTACTGCCCTAGGAAGCCACTATCGCAATTATATTGCACCTGTCCGCGACAGATGTTGCATGCAAGGGCATTTTGAGCCTCTGGCACCGGTTATTTGCAAACACCACAGGCTTCAGAGGCTTGCTGTTTGTCGTCGACTGAGTGGTTGCCTTCTCAAGATGATGTCAAACGTAGTGCGTTTACCCCATGCTTTATTTTCCGCCAACGGTATGATGATGTGAAAGATTTGTCGAGAACTTAACTCCGAGTTAATCACTTTGAGGAAACTGAATTATCTGAGACGAGTAGGT